CGATGCCCATCAAAAAGGTCCCTGTTATTATAGTGTCAGTTAAAATGGACTCTAAAGAAAGAACACATTAGTGACAAAAGTGGCCACTGCATAATGGCAACAGGGGCAGTCATTGGGGAGATTGTCAGTTTAAACTTTTTTCCGTATAGTAATCATAGCCTCCAAATAGTATAAAGCAACAATTTTCAATGTTCCTAGGAGAAATTTATCATAACTGATATATAAGATCTGAATAATAAAATTAGCAAGTTTATACTAATGTTCATGTAGCAAAAGAATTCTGCACTCCTATATTAGCAAACACATTCTTTTCAGGTACATGTAGAACGTGTATGAACACTGGCCATGGCCACACACTAGGCTACAAAGGAAATCTCAATAGGTTCCAAAGAACCAACCACATAGATCACCTTCTTTTACTAAAATATAATTGAGTTAGAAACCAATTACAAAGAAATAACTCCAAGATCATCTATAAGCAAACTATTAGAACTAATAAGAGAGCTTGGTAAGATTGCTGGATATGAGACCCATTTATCAAAATTCATTGTGTTCCTACACACCAGGTAGAAACACCCAGAACTGTAGAGAAGGTCCCATTTATGATGCAAAAACCTTATCATACCTAGGCATAGATCTAACAAAAGGTATGTAAGATATTTATGGAGACACTTATGAAACTTTATTGAAAAACATCTAAAAAGGATGTAAATAACCGGAGACATATACCAAGTTTCATCGATTCTGAAACATGCATTTTTTTCACCCTTTTATCATCTCAGAAATCAGATACGTCTTAAAATTGATGGTCCCTTACTCTGTGTCATAGGACATAGATCAATTGGCAGTACTTTTTCTTTCTCTGCAGCACATCAAATAATGGTGTGTCTTTCACTCAATGGCATCAATTAAATGAATACCATGTCAATGGATGGAAAGGCTCAAAACTGTAAAAATGGCTATGCTTGCCAATGTGTTTTGTAACTTAAGTGCAATTTTTGGCGAGCTGCTTCTGAAAATCATTGATTAGCAAGGAACCCAGTACAGGCAAGGCAATTTTGATAAATACACGGTAGTGGGGGAAGGTGTATTTACCAGATATTAAGCTTTAGGAGTTTGATCATGTGGTATTGGCTGGGGGATATAGCCATGTAGCAGAGTCAAGTCCCGACAGTGACACACATGATATAGAAACTTGATCTCTGACAGCGATTGCATTACAGAGCAGTGGAGAAGGACTACTAAATAATTGATGCTTGGAAAATTGGTTAACCATATTGAAAAAAAAATACAATTCCTCTCTCACACCGAAAACTTAAACTTGGCAGAAAAAAAATCTATATGTAAAAAGCAAAACTTTAAAGTTTTAGCAGTAAATGTGGGAGAGATAGTTTCATGATCCATGGAAGGATTTTTTTTATAAAGATTTCTTATCTAGGACACAAAAAGCATAAACTGTAAAGGAAAATATCAATAAATTTGGCATCATTAGGCATTAGGGAAATGCAAATTAAACCACAGTGAGGTACCACTTCACACGTCTCTGAGTGGCTAGGGTGAAAATTAGTGAAGACAGCAAGCACTGGTGAGGATGCACAGCAATTACAACTCACATACGGCTGGTAGGAATGCAAAATGGTGCAGCCACTGCAAAAAATGGCTTTGCAGCTTTTTCTCCAAAGGTAAACATACACCTACCATGTGACCCCGCAATCCTGCTCTCAAGTATTCACCCTAGAGAAATGAAAATGATGCTCACATGAAAATCTGTACACACATGTTTATAGCAGCTCTATTCATCACAGCCCCAAACTGGAGACAACCCACAGTCTTTCAACAATTGAATGAATAAACAAACAGTAGTACATCTGCACAGTGGGACCCTACACAACAACAAAACAGAATGAACATGTAGCAACACACATGAACACGTGTGTTTGTTATTCTTTCTACTTTTCTGTAAGCTTGAAATATTTAATAGGGATACACAAAATAAAATACGTACCTACATAATAAAATTATGGAGTGCATTTAAAGACCAGAACCTTTCTTTTTCAAGACACTGTTAGTATTTAAACACCCAGTGGTTTTTTCCTCAGTGCCTGTCTTCCACACCAGACAAGAAGCTCTCTGGAACTGACTCTCTCCACCTCACTCATTCCTGGTCCTCAATAAATGTATCCTGAGTGGACAAAATCATTGTTATGATCCAGAAAAGACAAGACATTATGTGTTAACCACATTTAGAAGCATCTCCATTTGCACAATTGAAACATAAAATTTCATTGGCTACCAGTCTTCAATGTTCAATTCTATGGACGCTCCTTGAGCAAGTTATTTCTATATGAAAATCAAATTACATGTTCACTAACAAGTAGTTTCTATTTTTAGACACAAAAGAAATTCCAGAATATCATAATGATCATTCAAATGAATATCTAAATGTGGGCAAACAGTTTACTTTTCAGGTGACCATGTCGTGTTGAATTATTTTTGTTTAGAAGGAAGAAACTTACTAGGAGACATGGTGTTTTATCATGATTTCACTTTTAAGTGAAAATGTTTATTTTTCTGAAAGTCTTTTAAACATTTGACCCCCAAAACATTGCCATGGTTTATAGCTTGGGCCGACTGAGCTGCCTGATTATAGTTTAGACATTTGAGCAGTGGCTACGTGCAAGGCACACAGGCAGGCCTTTCCCCATTTAATCCTCACAACAGCTTCCGCATAGGAACTCATATTATCTGTGGTACAGATGAGGACAGAGAGACTTGGGAACATAAGAACCTGCCTACAGACATGTGTCTCGACCAGGGGTCCCCAGCCCTGCGGGCTGAGGACCGCTGCTGGTCCACGGCCTGTTAGGAGCCCAGCCTCACAGCAGGAGGTGAGCGGCAGGCAAGTGAGCAAAGCTTCATCTGCCGCTCGCCATCGCTCCCCGTTGCTCCCCATCGCTCCCCGTCTCTCCCCATCTCTCCCCATCGCTCCCCATCACTCCCCATCTCTCCCCATCTCTCCCCGTCGCTCCCGTCTCTCCCCGTCGCTCCCCGTCGCTCCCCGGCGCTCCCCGGCGCTCCCCGGCGCTCCCGGTTGCTCCCCGTCTCTCCCCATCGCTCCCCATCGTTCCCCATCGCTCGTATTACCGCCTGAACCATCCCCCCCCGAACCATCCCCCCCCAACCCCGTCATCCGTGGAAAAATTGCCTTCCACAAAACCGGTTTCTGGTGAGGAAAAGGTTGGGGACAGCTGATCTAGACTACAAGTTCCATGGGGGGTGGGGAAACAAATCTATCTTATAGTCACAGTTGTAGCCCTAGCACCTAGCATACTGCCCAGCACATAGTAGACACTCAGAGAACACCTGCTGAGTGAATTATTCAAGGACCGTCTGTTATGAGGTGGAAGTAGAGTCTGCACCCAAGTTCTAGCTGATTCAAAGCACGTGCTTTTTTTTTTTTTTTTAAATCAGCACCATAAATTTTGTTATTTCTCTCTTCAATCCCAACCCGCTGGGCATTTTCTCCCTAAAATGCTCCAGTAGAATAGGAATAATTAAATAACCTTTCATTTACTAAAGGGGAAAATCGCTCTCTGCTCCTTAAACCAAAGGTAAGGTTCGCCGAGAAAGGGTGTCCCCTTCTGCCCTCACACAGCTTGGAGTCTGTCCTTGGAGACTGACACAGCATCTTCAAGCCTCACACAAGACCTCCTCCAGCCAAAAACTGGAGGACTCACATCCCTAAACCATCGCTGAACTTGCTGGACTACCCAGGAGGGCTACAAAGCAACCCGTGCATTCACTATGTAAACATAATAATAGGGCATCTGTTTTTTAATTTTAATTTTATTTTTTCCCCACTAAAATATTCAAGTGAGAAACATTTGGAGATTTATATTCAGGGCACAGGACCAAATGGCATCTTTGTTAAATATAATTAATTTTTCCTGGCTTTTTTCCTCCATCATGACAAAGCCAGATCTGTACCATTCACCCTATTTATAGGTGAATATTTCCCTTCCCCAGAGAGTCTCAGCGTCAACCACCGAGATGCTGAAGGGGAGAGAGCAGTGCTGTTTCCTTTCCTGTCTTCGTATCATAAAATGGAGAAACATCTTGAGCCGTGTACTTTGGGTTCCTGACTTAAATTTTGAAAAACGAACAACAACGACCACCAAAGAAAAAAATCAGCCTCAGTCAGCTTTCCTCTCATCTAAGAAAGTGACTGAGCTTATTCTATTTCACTTTGAATGGGCAAGGAAAAGCAACTTCCAGCAGCTGGGGGAAAAGCGTGGGTGGGAGATATTGTGTGTGTAAGGGGAGAGACAAAGAAAATATTGCTTCTGTCTTTTCCTTGTTTTTTCCTAGAAAAAAAGACCTCTTTGTTACATATACATATATATATCACCAAAAAAAAACAAAAACAAAACCCTCACAATTAGAATCTAAAGAACCGTAGGAAGGAAAGCTGTACAGAGAATGTTATTTTTCCAATAAAAGGTATATGTGATCTGGCCCCTGGGTGTTGGTTTTAAGTGGAGATATTGACTTCCAGCTGATTGATGAGTAGAACATCTTTCTCCTGAAATATTGATAGTAGATTACACGAAACCACAAACTCTCTCCATAAAGCACATCACTTCTAATACTAATGGTGTTTTCTTTCCTCGGGATGACTGCTACATTCATGATATGATGGCTGTATTCTATCTTGGGGAAAAACTTTTTACCATACTGCTAAATTAACTTGTCAAAAGGCTTCAAACTTCGGAAGCTTTTACAGCTCAATTCAGTGCTATTATTCAAGATTGAATGGGAAGGCCATGGACTGTAAAAGCTTGCAAAAAATAAATTTCACAGGCTTTCATAGACTGAGTGAAATACTTACCTTTTGTTCATGTTGTGTATCTTTATTGAGGAGTCTCAGAAGGGCTGCGTTTTGCCCATAACTCCTCGCTCTTCCCCTGAAAGACTGTGTGTTTTGTCTGTTGCCCTTGAAGGCCCTCTCCAGCGCCGGCCCTGTTGATAACAATTCATTCCCATGGAGGACGCTGTGGACTGGAACATTCTCCAAAACACGGGGCAGGAGGTGAGACAAAGGCTCCCAGCTCCCAGAATGAACCTTGGGTTTTTACAATTCTTTTATTCTCGAAACAGATTCACAAGGGATTTGATAGCCAATTACTGCTTGTAAATGCAAGCCAACTGTCATGGCACTTCCCAAGGGTTATGTCTGTGGTTGGGGGAGGACGACACACAAAGACAAAGCAGCAATTAGTGTTGGCACTCGAACTCAGACTGGGTCATTTGGAACATCGGGTGAAGTGCACATGTCTGCGTGAACGGAGTCTCAGGCCAGCCTGAAGGACGCTCAGACCACCGGGCAGTCAGGTCAATGCCACAAACGTGAACTGGTCTGGTGGCCTCCTGTAGATGTGGCCCAAGACTGATGTTGGGCAAGCCCATGCCTGTCCTCTTGGGCTCTAAAAGATTTCTAACGGTGGGATGGGAAGACATTTGATAGGCTGTGCCTTTCCCTTCTACATGGAGCGTCTGTTTTCACTGAATCACTTCTTAAGCAAATGCCATGAGTAGAAGCTGGATTATTTTTAGTCATCTGAGGTGATTAGTTAGATGGGTAGCCTACCCTATCATCTTGTGGACCAAGGTTTTTAATTCTTTCTTCAATCAGTAAGAACTTATTTCAATGTGAACCCAAAATACTCAAGATACTAACAAAAAATATGTGGATTTTGTGTGCCCATCCCCCAAGGAGTTGACAGGATGGTTGGGAAGACAAGGTATATACACATATATCCCCATATTTCTCATGCTTAAAGGCAAGTTTAAATGCCTTCTCTTGCATAAAGCCTCTTTGATTCCTCAACTGGAAGAAATCTTTTCTCTGAACTTTTTTTGCAATGTAGCATAACTTTCTTTCAACACTTGACAATTCCTATCTTGTGTAATGGTCATTTGCATGCATGCGTTATTCCTCTGTCAGACTGTAGATGTCTGTGGCTTGGACCTTCTCTTATTCATCTTCCCCTCCCCCAGCACTTGTTCCAATAGCTCTCACGCACACACTATACCTGTGCGGATGGGGCTCGGGAATGAGTAATTTTGGAAGTTTATCAGGGAATCTGCTGGGAAGCCAAGATTGCAAACCACTGTGCTGGGTGACCTGCACATGAGGACATCTCCCAGGGTTTCTGTGAAGTGCCCAGGAAAGCTTACAAAAGAATGAGGATTGGAGCTGGGCTTTAGAGGATGGGTGTGGCTGAAACACTTGCCCTGGGGAGGGGGCCTGAGAGGTCTGGGCAGAAGTGGAGAGTGAGGGCTTGTTCTCAGGACCCTCCTTCTTGGGTGGCATCCTTTGGAAACAGCACTGGATTACCAACCCCAGAGGAGGAGTCGGGCTCACCCTGCTGCCAGGTGATCTGAGTGATTCTGAGCTGGAGGATTCTGATGGGGGATGGCAGCAGCGGCGGGGCAGGGATGGGGGTGGGAGTCTCCCCAGGGCCCCTCACTTCTCATTCCCAGCCTCCTTCATGGCCATTTCACAGGGTCCCCACTCTTGTTCAGATAAAGTTCTCAGGCTTGGGCTTCTGATGTGGCATCTTTCTGGATCTCAGTTCTTGAATGTCAAACTCAACTGGATGTGATCCTACCAGTTAGAGGGATGGTGGGGAGAGATAGCATTGGGAATTTTGAGGACAGGAGGGTCACACTGCAGGATTATGTGGGAAGACTTCTTGCTGAGTAAGGTTCTTATTTTTTATTCTGAGTAGTTTAAGGGAAATAGGAGGAGCAGGAAAGGGAACTTATATTTACATGAGCGTCTATGCTTTGCCGGGCCCCATGGTGCATCTCACATATGGACCACATGACTCTTTGCTGCAACCCAGAAGCTATCTATTATTATTCCTCTTTTCCAGAGAGGAAAACTGAGTACTCAGAGACTCTGAGCGGCTTCCCAAAGTCACACAGCTAAACAGGTAAGAGCCAGAGGTGGGCCATCTATGTTCCCACACATCACATGACCTATGGCTACACATGGGTAGAAACCATGGCCGCTGGGGGTGAAATGGTAAATCTTAGCATATGAAAATCTGGACTCTTATTAAAGTCACGGACAATTTTTTTATGTATGTACTAACAATAGACTTTAATTTACCAGAGATTCTCTTAAATATTAAATGTTGTTTTTTTCCAGTAGAGGTTTCCTAGTGAATTCAAAATATAATTGGGAAATCAGAAATGTGATTTGCCAAGCTATCTTTGTTAAGAGTATCAGTTTGGGCAAAGCCTGCTGTGTACACTTGGGTAGCACACGCAAATAGATGAACTCGGTGGGAAGATGCAAAACATAGCCTCTACACAGTGACTTCATCTGGTGTCCTGGCCTTTGCACTGTTGGTCAGGCGACAAGAACATGGGCAATTGTGGGAAACAGGGCAGACTAGGAAGGAAAAGGAATCAAGATTTTAAAAATGCTCTCCATATTTTGAGAATATTAAAAGCAGAACGTAAGTCAAGAAAGAGGAGAGGAAAATATCTTCAAACAGGTAAAGAGAGTCAGTACAAATGTGTACAGATATGGGCACACGTGTTGATCATATAAAAGACATCTGCATGTACTTTATGGAAAAGATGGATACCAGGTTCCGAATTCAATCAGTGCCTTGTACCCGTTCACTTCTTTCATCGCTTGCTAAAGCTCGTGGCCCTTGGCACAGAGGGTGGAACCACTGGCTGGCTTCTGGGCTCCCCTCTCAGCTTCTGGGCTCCGGTTTTCCTTGGTTACAGCCCTGAGTTGCTTCCTTCAGAGAACTTGTCAAAAGCATCCTTAATCATGGTCACGTGTGCCTTCACTGTGACTCCCCCTGGCTGCAAGGGAGCTCCATGGCAGGTGTCTTCCCCGCCAGGGACCTCAATGTTTAGGGGCATGCTCACTGGTGGGGGGAACAAGCAACTAAAAGAGGCTCAACAGCCCCAGAACTCAGAAAGGGGTCTGCACCTCAGATTCATCAGGACCCATGTGAGGACTGCTCCACTGTCTTCATACTGGCTTTCTGACCACTGGGCACTGCACGCCGGCCCTTAGCACCCGGGTCGGGACACCAAAGTGTGCCCAGCATGAGCCCCAGGGAGCCCAGCCCGGGTGCGCTGTGAGCCAGACCTTGGCTGTCCGGGGTGCCTGTCCCCAGGGCCGGCCCAGGAAGGGGGCTGGGTGACCAGGACTGAGCGGTGGGGGAAGCCTACTGGCTGAGGCAGGGATTCAGGGGTCCAACCTGGTGGAAAATGACTTTCCCTAGGTGTTTTTTAACCACAGTGCATGAGACCCGGAAGCATTATTTGTGAGACAAGACTGAGGTCTCAAAGGAGAAAAAGTTGATGTCAAACAGGTAGTTTTAGAGGGAGGACAGAGAAAGATAGTTTTGAGAAGACCTAAGACTTACACATCCCTCAAGACGAGGATTGTACGAAAGGTAGCACCGCACGGGGGTGTATACAGCACCGGGGTGAGGTTTGCTGGAAAGCATCTGGAGGCAGAAGGGCGAATCCGGAGGCTGAGGGGGACACTGCGGGAGCGAGCACCCATCGTGCTCTTTAGGACGACCTTTTTAACAGAGGCAGGAACAACCGTCGACCGTCAGCCGTGGCGCACACGCGATAGCCTGTTTCAGAATTAGAGAAAGCTGGACTAGCAGCTGAAACGACGAAACGATGTCACCACAGCATCACTCCTGGCACTCAACTGCTTTCCTGTGAGCTGCCTCGTCTGCCGACACGATGTCCCCAAACACATCCAAAGGCAAAGGTCGGTGTTCCCCAGACATTTGCTCTGAGAGGTCCTGGTGATGGTTGGGTGGGCACCTCCTGTAGAGGCCTGAGGAGCGCCCCACCCCAGCCCACGTAGGAGAAACACTGACCCTGAGGCCTGAAGTCTCGGTACAGACGTTCTCATGCTCCGACACCACCTGCACTGGGGACCCCACACTCTCCCCCTTCCCCCCTTCAGCTGCCCCCAGGCACCCGCTGGCTTTTGTGGTCCCAGGGGGGCTCTTGGTTCCTGTGCTCACGATTAAGAGCCCTGAGCCCTCCTCCCACCACCCCCACCTTGGATGCCTGGGCAACACTGACATTTTAATTTCCTTTTCCATATGGTTTATCACAGGATATTGAATATAATTCCCTGTGCTCTCCACTAGGACCTTGTTGTTTATCCATCTTATATATACTAGCTTGCATCTGCCAATCTCAAACTCCCAGTCCTTCCCTCCCCCCCCTCCCCTCCCCCTTGGCAACCACAAGTCTCTTTCTGTTTTGCAGGTAAGTCCATTTGTGTCATATTTTAGATTCCACATATAAGTGATATCATATGGTATTTGTTTTTCTCTTTCTGACTTACTTCACTTAGTATGACAATCTCTAGGTCCATCCATTTTGCTGCAAATGGCATTATTTCATTCATTTTTATTGCTAATATTCCACTGTATATATACACCATGTCTTCTTTATCCATTCATCTGAACACTGACATCTTTTTACTTTGGATTCCAAGGGACTTGAGAAGGGACAGTCAGAGGCTTGGAGTTTGTGGTACCCATAACATCTTTTGTAAGTAGACTGTCACAGCCGTGAACGAGGTACAAAGACCACACCTTTGAAACTTTCACTCCGCTCATGTCAGGTGAACCTAGCTCGCCGGGGCAGCTGCATCCCTGTGTCCTCCCTCCAAGCCCAATCAACGTGTAGCAAGGCCCCGGACAGAGCCCAGAGGTCAGTTGGGCCCATGTCCTTCACGGAGCTGGTCCAACCTGATGAAAACTCGAATTCCATAATTTTAGGTCCAGAACCAGTGAGACAGCTTCCCTGCATCCTCGTCACTGTCCTTTCCCCCCTTCTCAAGGCTGTAGGCTCACTGCCCCTTCCTTCACCAATTTCTACTCAGACGTTTGTGAGCTCAGACCTCACAAGAGATGCAGGGAGAGCTCTGCGAGGTGGGTGGGGGAGGAGGGTGGGTCCCCTCTCCACTTTTCTCTCCCCCTTTGGAGGGCAGAGCACAGACGCCCGGCCTCGGACACCAGCACTGCAGCTGTGCGGCTGAGAAGTTAATGAACCTCTCCGGCATCAAGTTCCTCACTGAATAGTGCCTCACAGCGCTATTGGGAGGATTAAGAAAGTCAGTGCACCACACAACTTAGAGCACAGCCCAAGAACTTGGTCCTTCCTGGGATTTAGAGCCCTGAGCCCTCCTCTGCCTCCAGAGGAGCCCTCCCCTTGCCTCACGCGGGACAGTCCCACCCACACTCGCGCCCCCTGGCTCTCACTTCCTACCTGAGCCCTCTCCCAACAAATGCAGTTCGCTCCCTAAGAATTCTGGTTAACGGTTTGCAGGGCAGAAATAGAGACGCAGATGTAGAGAGAACAAACGTATGGATACCAAGGGGGGGTGGGAATGGCGGGTGGTGGTGGTGGTGGGGTGAATTGGGAGATTGGGATTGACATGTATACACTGATGTGTATAAAATTGATGACTAATAAGAACCTGCTGTATAAAAAAATAAATAAAATAAAATTCAAAAAAAAAGAATTCTGGTTAATACAATTTGCTACCTTTTTTAAAGCTAATTAGGTTTCTTACAATTGAACCATCTTGCACAAGAGTTATTCCCCTCCAACTCCTTTGGAGCAGTGACGCAGAGTTGATTCTGTAGAACAAGAGCCTCCGCGTGGTTGATGAGAAAGAAAGGCAGACGTTGCTCCCCCGACCACCTCATCCTTATGCTCCTTCTCTGATAACAGAAGGCCATTTGTCCACATCTGGGTGGCCATCTCTAGATCTCAGGAATATTCCACTCACCTCAGTCTGAGGTTTAAATCTGGTTGATCTAACCCGTGATTAGCATCTCATCTCTCTCGGCCAGTATACAGCCGAGGGGCAGCCAGGAGTCCTAATGCCGACAAGAGGTGATGGAAGTCAGTTAGGTCGGTTACCAGGGATGCCTTTTCTTTTCTGATAAAAAGTGATAGACTGGTACGCCTTCCCCGTTTTGCCCTTTGCTCTTCCCTTTTTTAAAACTGAGTATGATGAATCACATGAATGTGAGGCTGGAGGTGCAGGAGCCTGTTGTAATCGGGAGGCAAAAAACATAAAGATGAAAGTTGATTTGCTAAGGATGCTGGAGTCCTGGATGGCACCAGTGAGGAGCTGTGGCAGCCTTGGGCCGTCCACCCCCAGACTTTGTGTGTGAGGAAAATACACACAGTGGTTTAAGCTGACGAGGCTGAGTAAACTTTACAGGCAGCCCAGAGCGTTCCTAAGAGATTGAAAGTATAAGTTAAAATGCTTCCACATATACTCAGAGGTAGCAGGACCATGGTGGACATCACTTAGCTGTCTGTAATCTAGAAAAGTCCTACTGAATTCAGTCACATTTTCATCTAGTACAGATACACTCAGTACCAGCCTGAATCAGTGGGCACATCTGTATCTTAGATGGAAATAAGTGCAGATCTGACCCTGAGAACCAAGGACGGGCGTCTCAGAGTGGTGAGGCTCTGTGCACTAAAGGATGCGCTTTCCCGGAAGGTGGTGTTAACCTTTGTGTGTCTGTTCTTCATAATCTTCTAACACGGCTGGAAGATGGCCCTGCTTAGGAGGGAATGCAACAGCCTGGGACTCAGTCACTTTAAGATCAAAGAGCTTCCCAGTTTGCACCAGTTTGTTTTTCAGTCTTGCAATGTAAGTGCTGCCTCCAGTCTGTCTTTTTCCAGCAAAGTCAGAATCAGAATCGGGGCAGATGATCCACGGGATGTCCCTGCACAATCTTTCTTCATTTAACTGTCCCACTGGTTCTATTTTCTCTCCTTTGATGCATTTTGTGTTCAAGGGAATGAGAAGCAAACATGATCACTTTTTCTCTGGGCCATTACCTCAGAGAACAATTGTACCACTGAGATCCCCTCTATCTTGGAAACAGATATTTGAATACAACATGTTCTTATAAGTGGTTCCTTACTCATGGAGTGGTTTCAATTACAATAAAAAGGGAAACACTGTCAGAAACCATAATGAAATTATCTCAGATTGGGACACCAATGCCAACATTTCAAATTTAATTTTTTTCAGCCTTTTTCTTTGAAACGAAAAATTTTCCTATCTGATTCCTTCCCAACATTCTAAAAAAAAGTTAAGTAAAGGGAGGGAAATATTGTGAATTCACAGACAATGCACATTTTTATATGTGAACAAGTCCCTTATGACTTCCTTTGCTTTTATTTTCCTCTATTGATTTTCGGTTAGAGATGATTTGGGGTTTGTAAATATATAAAGTTTTTAACCTAATTCAAGTAACATGTGTTTATACATATGTGATCAACCAGATTTAATAATTTAAATTAAATTAATTGTAATTGAAACTTTTTAATAGCTTAAATCGTTACCTGAAATTATATTATTTATTGGTTTTCTTGTTAATTTTGGTTTTCCTGTGGGAGGGGGATTTTGATTTTCCTTTTCACTGCTGGGTGCCCAGAACTGAGTAGAATGCCTGACACATACTAACTGCTCAGTAAATCTTGGTGTATATTAATTATCGACAGTACAAATGTATTATACTATCATAGTGGTTTCTTATAGCATCACACTTAATTCCATACCCAGTATTAAAAAAAAAAACTTTTGGCTTTTGCTGGAATTGCAACATTCCCCAATGTTTCCTAATTCTTAGATTCCAGTAGGATTCTTCATAGAGGATTTCTGCTCTCGGGTGTTGTCGGGCAGAAAGCACACGATTATTTATTTTGCCGCTGACACGGGTGACTGTGAACCCGCGGCCTCCTGGGCGGGCTCTGCTTGCTCACTTACCCATGCTAACTACAGCTGCCAGTGTGTTTATTTTGGTCATGTATTTCAAAGGACCATTTCTATCCTAAAGTAAACAAACATAATGGAACAGCTGTGGCTGATAAAAACTCCCAGGCATAATCATCACCCTCTTGTACATATCCTGTGGTTTCAGATTTAATTTTAAAAATTCCCTTTAACTCTTGATTCACGACTGGTTCTGTGGATTCAATGGAAAACGGATGCATGACGGTTCTCCCTCCCAAGTTGGGCACAGATGAGGGAGAGCAACCCACGCCGGCTTCTCTCCTCCCACAAAGGTAGGAGAGCGGGTCCGAGGCTGCCATTCCTCGGCTGCAAGAGTAGCTGGAACACGCATGTGCGTGGACTAGCCGCGCAGCGTGGGCGGCGGGGCATGCTGAGGGCCAGGCGTGCACGTGGTCCCAAGGACCATCCTGGGAGATGCTCCCAGGGGGCCAGGCCAGGCTCTGAGGCCGCCCAGCTCCTCAGGCCACTGGGGAGGAGGCCCTTGGCTGGACCAAGCCTGCCCAAGGGGCTGCCATTTCCCTATCATTTCGTTCAGACTCCAGATGCAACCGTAAAGTATAAATGATCAGCTTCAGAAAATGTAGATGATCTGTTTTGAAAAAAGTTGTGAGATCGCTGAGCATTTGCTTGTTCTGTGAATGCTGCATTACATTATACCTTACTTATATCTGAAAAAAAAAAAGTTCCTTTCCTAAACCATCCCTAGCATTGGGATTCTTTTTGAAACCACAAAAATGGATACTTTTGATACAACACATTGTGGTAGATTAATAGCGCATTTAAAAATTGAAATATTCCTCAAAATATTAAACAGAGAATTATCATGTAATCCAGCAATTCCACTTCCGGGTACATACCCCAAAGAATTGAAAGCAGGGACTCAATGAGATTCTTGTACACCCACGTTCACAGCAGCATTATTCACAACAGCTGAAAGGTGGAAACAAGTGTCCATCAAAGGAGGAAAGGAAAAGCATCCATATAATGGAATATTACTGAGCCTTAAAAAGGAAGGAAATTCTGACACAGGCTCCATCATGGATGAACCTTGAGGACATTAGGCTGAGTGAAAGAAGCCAGTCACAAAAGGACAAATACTGTATGTAAATTCCACGTATATAAGGTCCCTAGAATAGTGAAGTTCATAGAGGAAGGAAGGAGAATGGGGGTTGTCAGGGGCGGGGGGAGGGAGATCTGGGAGCTGTTTAATGGGGACACAGTTTCAGTTTGGGACAT